CAAGCTCCACAGAGTATCTGAAGGTATCGCTGTTATGTTTTTCTTCCAACCTGAATTGTTCAGTCCGTAAATGTTAGTTTTCTTCAGAATGTACTGAATTGTTGGTAGCTAAAAACAGAAGCACTTAGGTAAAAATTACTTTATCGTTTATGTTGGATAATGGCCCCAATGTCGTTCTTACCGTAAACTTGAGGACGCTATAAAAGAAATGAAATATTTGGTCTTTTATCACTTTCTCAGTCACCAGTTAGATGATCGGGGTGATCATTTATGGACAACATCGGTTACTTTCCAGGCCCCAAGGTTTATGACAGCTTCTAAAAACGATGTAGATATTTAGAACAATGATGCCAGTATATTTGTTTCTGATATTCGGAAGAGTATCGATGGTGTTTTAGCTACACAATAACTTGCATTGGGTTCGAGGAGTTCAAGGGTGACTTGCATATTGCAAGGGTGAAATTTACTGGTATTGAAGTCTTTTGCTTACGGCTCCTTACGATATAGCAGGATGTAACAAATCAGTGATATTGATGTTACTTCTCCTTGTTAACCTCGTCTACAACTCATGTCTGTAACCTTGCACTGGTTTTTACTTTCTACCGAGAAATCCTATTACAAGCTGGTCTGGACAACTATACTCAAAAAGAGCTCATTCATAACTTCTTCAGCCACAGAGTTAAAAATAAAAAGAATAAATAAAATAAGATAAAAACATAAGATCACAGAGCCTCATTATTATACTTTGTAAATCAACATTATTACTAACAACTTGGTTCTTCTGAATTTCCTCTATTCATACGACTAACTTCCCATTAGTTAACCTACAAAAGTGAAGGTGTACAGTTAGTGTTCTGATATTAAAAAAGTCTGAGTAAACATACCTTTGTTTTATCCAAAAACGTATGTGCGAAGCCGTTGTTCGGCCTTAAACAAGAATATTTTCTGTTCCGCTCCTCGTCCCGTTTTCTTTATTCCTCTTTTTTCAGCACCTTATTCCAATCCTCATATATTATTCTGGATATTTGCAGTAGACTTGGTTACCCTACCCAGGAACATGTGAAATCATTAGCTGATGAATATCAACCAAACTTTTGTTACATGCAAACCTGTCTCTACCATGAATCGTTTCGCAATCGATAAGATGATAGTCGTAACGCGACCTTCGTAACTCGCGCCGATTGCTCGCATTGTACATTCCATCTATAGGAATCCAATGAATCACGTAAAATGTTTCAGTAACTGTATACCGTTTTAAAAGAAATATGTTGCTAATCTTAACGTTTTGATCTTGCCTGTAAATTGGCATGTCTCTTTTAACATGTTTGTTATTTGAGGATAAATTATTACTATTATTATTATTAACTGATGATGTCAAGAATAATATCTGCAGTAGGATGTATGTTCTGACTGAGGAAGAACTATGTACTAGAAAGTTCAAAAATAAAAGTTTGGTCATAATGTCTCCTCATCAAGCATGACAAAATGAATTTCGTAGTTATGCCTTCTTTTATGTGTTTTTCGAACAGAAGGATGAGATTTTGTGATTTACATACAGTAGTGAGTGCATTACATTCCCCTACATTTTTCATAACTTCCATGCTGATTTTTCACACCCTCAGCTACAAAATATATTTGATGCAGGATACCGAAGTCTTTTGATATGCAATATATCCGTTTAACTTTATGTAGCTTAGCCCTGGTTTTTGGTTGATAAAAGCAGTCATTGCTTTGAAGGCGGTTTCGGAGTGAGATATTGGTGTCTAGCGCATATTTAATACTGACATTCAGTATTTGTCGTTTTTAAGAGAGTTCATCACTAGTAAAGAAAGTAGTACAGTCAGAGACCTGAGTTAGAAATTAAAAGCTTTATCAGCCACTGTGTTCACGATCTCTATATTGAAAATTGTTATTGCTTTGGATTTGTTGCACTTTGCAAGAAATAGCAGTGTGCAGAGGAACACTTTATGACCACAGTTATGAGATTTTCTTTACGTAATACCAAGTTGAGAATGCTGTGGTTTCCTGTATGCAGATACACATGTTGCCGCCAACCGTGAGTATTCAAGGACCTAGGTATGCTTTCAAAGCGCAATAGTTAGGCATTTGTCCACCAGTCGATTCCAGGGAGGTTGAAGTCACCACAAATAATTTGGCATGAGAATTCAAGAGAAGTAGCCTTAACAAATGACTAACTAAAACTAGTGTCAATCAATCGACGATTGCTTGGAGCTCGATATATTCATGAGATAAGTATTTAACATTGATGGGTGTGCACAGTAAGCCATATCGAACCGGGTGCTTTATCAACGACAATCTCACCAATAATGTCTGTTTGATGTTTCTAGATACATACCACCACCACTGTTTTTACAGTCTCGGTTACAGAGAAAAAGTTCATGGGTGTCTAACAGAAGGTACCAGTCAGAGGTCAGCCAACTTTCGGGTATCAAGACAAGTGAAAGATTGTCTAAAACTACCAGGAGAGATCAGTCATCTTATTGATAAAATGTTAAGGATTATTCAATATTAGTGTTGCTTAGATTAAGTGAGTTTTTTTCTTTCAGTGAGGTTCAGGCACACTTCTTGGTAGGTGCTCAGAAGTATCTCATTCGGAAGCTGTAGATAGTTTTGCGTCACTCAGTTCTGAGTTGGCTGCATTCATGCCTATAAGAGAGATCCAAGTTAGTGATAGGTCATGCCAAAATTCGTGGTAATAGTATATCGTCCGGACGTAAATCAGTAGGAGAAATATGTTTAGATGACATTTTCGGACACTAAGGGTCTGAAGGCGAGAGCTATATTAAGGTGATGTGATTAGACTTAAGCCGTGTCTGGATATAAATCGTTTGCTGATATATACGGCTGACTTCCAGTAAAAAGACGGAAGACAGAAAAACCGCCAAATCACATAAAAAATGATTTAAACTTCGCAGTACACGCCTCTCTCGTAAATTATCAATCTATTTAAGAAAACTAATGAACTGAATGTGGCAGCATTCTTAACATTCTCATCTTTTCTGTAAACTCTCATGCCTCAGTTAGTAATAAATGTTTTTATGATTAGTTATAAGTTGAAGTATTTTTGAAGCTACTCTCTTAGACACTATATTGGTTAAAATAATTCCTATATGACTGACACAAAATGACTTTTGTCCCTACTTACAGACTGGGACGATTATATTGATTAAGTTTATTATGGCACCGTACACAGATCACTAAACCATAGGCACACGAAGCGAAAATGGTATATGAAAATAATAAAAGCAAATGATGCAGATAAGTTATTGAAATTCGAACGACTCAGTCTGTTAATTAAGTCAGAAATGGCTTAACCGAATTAAATGTGGACAAACCCAAACACATATGAGGTACTACAGAGGGGGTTACCTCCAGTTCCAAGATTCTACGTCAGACCCCAGTCAATCTAACCGCAGAAACTGAACCATCTACCTTAAAAATCTCAGGCTTTAATCTATCAGATCTTGCCGTTCTTCCTCACCTGCTGCTTGACTTTGCCTTATATGCCCTATGGCCTGTTCGACCTTATTAATAGTCCGAGGAGCTACATCAAGTCGCCTTCCAGGTTATTTAGAAATGGGTGTATGTCCTGTTCCCTGGAGTGTTCTCTCCAGTGATCCTGTCCTTTGAATTAAGGCTGAATAATAGTCCTGGCTTAGTCCGACAGATGCTCCCTACCATCTGAATTTCCAATACCAGTTTCTTTGCCAAGTAAAAATGGTTATCTATGACCTAAGTCGACAATGTGAGGTCAAATGAACGACTGTGCTTGAATCCTGAATGCACATTTTGAAGACTTACATCAACGTTACGGGATTCGAGAGCCATAGGTGTAACCTATTCGAACCCATATTCTATTCACCTCAAGGTTCGATTATCAGTTTGTCATGATCTCATGCTCATTACCGTCTATTGCTTCCCATAATAAATATAAGTGCATTTGGTCGGCTGTAATGAAATATTTTGATCAGTATGGCTGATTCTGCTGTAGCATTTTTTCTTAGAGTAAGTTTGTCCTGAAAACTTCCTCAAAACCTGGCGGATTGTGAGCAAGCAATTGTCAGTTACATTTACTTAGGTCTTTGGCAAATAACTTCATATGACTGGTCTACTTAGCTATTCAACTTTATCATCTTTTCGTCGTGAAACTGTGGTTTGATCCTAGCACTTGAGCTCCCTCTTGGACAAGTTGTGCATCATGCTTACTTTGAAACCTGCTAGTTGTCATAATCACAATCTCCTCAGATCACTTACTCAATCTACTTCGCTTATAATCTCTGTTTCATCTCCATTGCTTACGCTTCTGTCGTATCTCACAATCTTCACTACTAATTATTAAATTATCTATAAATTACTTAGTTCTGAAATCTTCTTATTAGCATTAAAGTTTTCTCCTTATTTGTCTCCACATTGCAACTAACCGATCTCCGATCTGGTAATGTGACAACTGCTGGTATACAGAAACCCTACGGTCATGAAACAAACGTATTCATTCAAGTCACAGGACATAAAACTCACAACCAACTGCCGAATGACTAGAATTAGACAGTCCGTTGGACACTACCAAACACCTGAAACAGTACTGAAAGGAAAGAATAGAGCACGAAGGAATCAACTGGTTTATACTGGCTCGTGAAAAAGATATTGGATAATGGATGTTTGCAGATAAATTCCATATACATAAACTTCAAGTCTAAGCTTAGTTTGAGTCTACGGTTTTCAGCTCGTTAGACGGTTGCCTTACTATCCAGTGTCTGATAGTTTAAATGGAACCGGAGCTACGTAGTTTGTACACAGCCATGAATATGTTTTGTATATTTAGTTTGAACCAGTCATATTTAGGGTTTGTAGATCTGAAATGTTTGGTAACACCTTTTATCTTCGAAATATATCACACTGTCAAGTATGCAGTCCCCACACATAACCACCTAAATATTGTCATTTTAATACTCAGTGTTTATATCCTTCAATTATGTATTAATCTTATGCTTGTCGCTCTGTGATATTTCAAAAATGTCATCTGATGGTAGTCTAGGCGGTTATTTTTTGTTGTCAGTCACTGGACAGATTGAAAAGGCTGACGTAAGATGATTAGACAATTAATGCTTTCAACAGTTTCCATTTCATGATTATATATGGTGCAAATACTGCTTTGCTACCGGTCCCGACTGGACAAAACTAGCTGTAAGATTCTAAAATGAAATATAGGTTTAATATATGACAGGGTCTAGATGAAGGGATGACCCAAACGTCTATTAAAGGTGTCGGTTGTAATAATCAGAACAATTTTAATTTTCCAATTGACATTTCATGGAAATCAACGAACCCATTTGGTTGTACGTTAGTTCATGCTTTTTAAATTTTTAGGGCCTCAAATTGTCATCCATGCCTACGGCGTTGACGTCTTTGGAAAGGACGTCCTGCGAGGTTACGGGGCAGCATACATCCCTATGAAGATTGGAAGGTTCGTTTTTTGTTTCGATTTATTTTAGTGTTAAACACTTAAAAATGTATAGCCTATATGACATCCGAAGCATTTTACATCTTTAAAAATTAGACGGGATAATGAGCTTCACTCTGTACGATCAGAAGTCTGAAAAACATGTATTATCGTTTCCTGCTGAAGGTTTGCAGTAGGTATACTCTTTTAGAGAACATTGGGAAAATGAGTTTTTATGGCTAGTTTAACGAATCATTCGCCCACAATCCTCGGGATTAATGTAGTAATGGGAAATATTCTGCATTGAAAATGCATTTTGAAGTGCTGAGGATCTCTAATCTCACTTCGAATGTCTCTCCGGTTGATGGTCATATTTCTAATTATTCTAGTAAATGCAAAAGAATGAGGATAGCAGCAAGTAGTAAGTGGTCAGACACATATTTTTGAACGAGGTTGTACCATATTTCAAAATGGTTATGTGTATCTAAGTCCTAAATAGTTCAACGGCACCAAAATAATTGTTTAGTACTTTGAATGCGAACACACTGCCTTTTACAGTTTTTATTCACATCACAAACTATGTCAGAAATCTCAAGTTTTTTGTTGATAGTTTTGGGTCATAACTTTTTTGTTGTACTAAAGCTTTATTATCTCGCATTCAAAATTAGGGTTTGATATATAGTTTGCACATTTCAATGGTATATAATAAATGTCAAGTTAAAACGAAGTTATAAGTCATAAAACTAGCAAATTCTAGCAGGCGGTCGTGATTTCGTAGTTATGGGTTACAATCAGCTAATACTCCACATACACTTCTGTTTTGATTTCCATGATCTATTATTCGTATAATGATGAAATTATCAATGGCCGGTGTAGAATTTGTCACTATCAATAGTTATCAACTGCAGAGATCATTTAAAGCATATCAATAAACAAATAACCTTATTTTTATTGTTGACCATTATTATTTGCAAATGGGCAGCACCAGTAAAACATTAGTATGGCTAATTGAGTCAGACTCGATAAATTATTCATACATATAAGAAAATAAGAGTATTTTAGAGTGTACCATTCACAATCTCTATTGTAGGGAACGTAGCATATACTTTAACTTTTGTTGACAATTAATTTGGAAAGCTTTGAGTCTAATTTCTTGTCTTATTATCTCTTTCGAAAGGTTTTGGCTTCTCTTTTAGCTAATACTACAAAGCTTTTACGAGCGTCTGAGGGCATTACGCCAATTATGCTCCTGTAATGGCTGTTCTTATATTTTCTTGAAGTGGAAAGGCTGACAAATCATTAAAAGAAAATCTTAAAATCATTTGTTTATATTCTTGATGGTCTTTAATCCGAAAGGAAGATGAGGTGATACTGTGGATGATTAAGCATATAAACAGTCTTTATCACTAGAAGATATACTCCTCACTGGCTACTGGTCTAAAACAATCTGATTTCAGTGTTAAGAAGGCTTGGACAACATAACTCATAATATTCTTCAGTGGTTTAGCTGCTTTAGTCCTCCAAATTCCTTTATTTATTGATGGTCAAAAACTCTTCAAACCTTTCCTTATATTACATCTGGTTATTTAACTACTGCTGGCACCGTTATTTCCTCTACTAACTTGTTATTAATCCTGATAATTTTCTCTTGCTATGACGATGTGGCGTAGCAACTAGAGCCAACGTGTATATATATCAGATTCTACACTGCAAACCACAACGATTATATGAGATATGATTAGTTTTTCACTTATATAGGTTTAACGCTTTGCGATTATATATAAATACTTGTTTCTGGATGTTCATATACATGAACGACCGGAAATATAGATAAACTCCAAAATTTGCATCTTTCTACATGTTCGAAACATAAACTAGACTTGGTGAATAAATAAGAATCTATACAGTTCACACGTATTTCAATGAACTACCGCCCCCTCGACTTAGCATGAAATTTAAATATATTTAGTTGGCTGGCTTGAATACACTCAAAGCGATCAGTTCTTTCTTGGTTTGGCAGGTCATCAAAAGATTTGGTACTATTAGCGAATTGGAAGTATATTCTCAAGAAATCGGTAGAGAAGAACCACATTTGAAATAATGGGCCAGATAAAAAGATGTAGGATGAAATGAGTAACTTGATGTATAATGGTGGAGAAAGTAAAACAGTTGACCGACTTTAGTGTTCAGCGTTCTGAGTGTTTTAATAAAACTTCTTGAATTTAACTAGGCTTAACTTAATCTAAAATACAAAGACTTCAGGACTTTATGAAATTCGTCTATCTATAACTTAGCAACTAGTAAGCGCTGTTTCACTATTCCACATAGACTTTGAAAACAGTTTGCTATATAGATACCTTTTACACCGCTTTCGTCCAGCTGATTAAAAATTCATATGCAAATCCTTTATTACAGAAACAAGTCTTGTCTTTTACTGTTGGGGATAATCAAAAGAAAAACAATGCCAAGTAAACTGATCACGTTATGTTGCGTATAAGTAATGATTTGTCGCATATTCTGTTGTTTATTTTAGTCACAGTGCACATTTTAAACACTTGACCAACAGGGTAACCAAATAAAAAAAGGCTATATGGTATGGATTATTCCTAGGAGCTTTATTATGGTAACCGCTGTTGTGCGTATATCTCCAACAAAGTTAACTTAGATACAGATATGTAGGTGATAACTGTGGATAACTCGGTAGTTCGCCTACCCAAAACAGCTTGTTCACATTTGCATCTCATCTGTTTGGTGCAAGTGAGACGGTATTAAAACCTTTCAAACTTGCCTAGATAATTACCGTGGTAGAAACATGGAGGATACACACCTTTGGATAAATTCATAAATATGATAAGCAACAGTACTTACTAGATGTATGTTGATCAAGATATTTTGTGTCTAATCTTATCAATGTGCAATGCATTTGATAAGCAACGATCATCTAACTGCGAGTAATTAAGATGATATACAGACGGAGGTTTATTATTTACTTTAATTACCACATCTTAGTCACTAAATTTGATTTTTTTCGAAGTGATAACACTCAAGAATTAGAAAAAGTAATATCAACGTCTCGAATAAATATTCAAAAATTGATGAGTCAAGCACCAGACTAAAATCCTCAACCCAGTCTTGACAACAAGTTCAATGTTACAATCTTTTTAAATTGACAGTTGCAGTTACTGTTTGCATAAAATATTTTAATTTAGTGTAGTTACACCTGAACATAGTGATTTATTAATGTAGAAATAAAACGCTAAAATGAATAATGTAAATGTTTTCTGTTAATCAAATGTTATTTAGCCACCGAAAACAAGTATCTATGTTTGTGCCCCAATCTTCTTCACAGTTAATGAAACTGAATGCATGGTTAACTGGGAAAAGACCGGAGTTTCTTAATCCGAAAGTAATAGCTAGTGGTGAGGGCCGTGGAGGTTAGTTTTTGAAAACAGATTTTTATAGCCGTTTGGTTATTCTTAATTTAATTGGTAAAGGATTCTATTTTTGTCAACTTGTCTTCTGGAGTGATTTCGATCCGCCTTGTAATTATCATTTACAGATCTAAAAAAATATAGTATAGTTATTTAAATCTTATGCTTGGACCCAAAAACTTATATATCCCAGCATTTTTTGCTAAGTTTGTCAAACAATGCTTTTCAAAATATCTAATGATAGATTATTCTAGTATTCATCTCTTTCAAATGCAAGTTAATTACGGATTACAAGATAATATAACTCATCCTTTCTTGAAATTCATTTTCTTACTGATTGTTTACGTTCATATTTGGATATTATTAAAAAACTTAATGACTGAAAGATTGATTCGGCGTCTCATAAGAAATTGATAATAATACTTCGACAGAATATCAAGTGAAGGATGAAAAAAGAAATAAGTTATGATTGAATTTTTAGAATATCTTGAAATTCATAATAATTGTACTCAACTTAGATGTGTACACAACTAAATGTTCAGATAACTATAATTTTTCTCAGGTTGACTAAATATGACACATAATCAGTGTTAATGACTAAAAGATTAACTTTTTTTCACATCCGTCTGTTTATAGGCTTCTAAATACTTTTATAGATCATGAACCTAAACATTTAACATTAGTTAATCTACAAGTTTGATAACTTATGCTTGTTGCTCGTAGAGCATAGACTACTTGTGAGTCTAATTCTATTGGTTAGTTCCTATTGGTCGTCCTAACTGTCAATGTTACATACTTCAATGTTGTTTCCTATTCGACCTAACTGCATAAATATGCATTATCTGTAATATTTTATGGTCCGGATCCTTAGCCTCTTCTGGACTCGGACTCGTACTTTCTGGATGCATGTAGAATACACGTTCCACATCATATTAAGTCTCCTTCTTCTATTAAATGAGGGGAGGTTTGGGACGCTCGGACTAGAGTAGCCTACCGTGTCACTGGATCATTGATCCTCGCTTTCGTTTACCGACTGAGGTTAACTCGTAACAGTTCAAACATATCAAAATGACGTGTTGACGCGCGTGCTTAACACTACTGAACAGGAATCTGTTGACAGCTCTGTAACATGCTCTCCTTTCAGTTTATACCTAATTACCATTCATACTTCAATGGCTGTTTCCATTCCCCAGCGCAATGTATTCCCTAGGCTTGACACTGTTTTATTTGCTTTGACGATTCCACGTCAATGCAATGATCTCCACAAAGTGTGACTTATCCATCTACAGCAAATATCCTATCTTAAATTCTTCCTCAAATGAAGACTGGTTTAATTATCGACACAGTAAGTTGTTGCCGAACCTTTCTGATAAACGGACTTATAGTATCTTGTACAGACAGCTGTTTATCAAAACCCTTATCATTTAGATGGTGGCTTGTATAGTTCTCAATAGAACTGTGTTCAATTTTGTACTGAAAATGTTGGCTTTGTGTTGTCTGACAGTTGTTTTGAGTTCCAGATGTTCTTCAATCGTGAGAATACTGCCCTCATTTTGCCGATTCGTGACTTCACATCTGAATCGGATCCTCCTTGTTTAGCAATGTTGCTGCCTCTATATGTAAAGATTTCCACACCATCCGCAAATTCTCGACCAAGTGTGATTTGTTTGGTATTCGCTGTCTTACTTCTCAGTATTTCACTTTTCCTTTGCTTGTATTAAGACAAACTACTGCAGTGGCTATGTAAGATATGAGAGTTTCATCATCTGCAGAGTGAGCAACCTTGTTTGACGCCACTCTTCATTTCAATGAGTCTGTGAGCTGTCTTGCATGCGCGGATTTGCAGTGTTGCTTATTATAAGAATTCCGTATTATGTTAAAATTCTTGTGAAATACCTTAAAGTGTCTTTCTTGTTGTTTTCCAATCCACTCTATTAAATGTTTTCTTGTAGGCAAGCAGTTTGATGTATAATGATAAGCCCCATTCAGTCAATTGTTTAATAATGATCCATAGTGCCAAGGTTCGGTAGTTACGGGATCGATCCTTACAAATGACAACCTTAACTTACTAACACTTTAGGAGTATTGAATTAATCTTCTAACCTAATGAAGACTGTTGGTAATAATTGAATTGAATTGCTTTTTCTTAATCTCTAGTAACTGACAAAGAAGTTAATTGAAGTAATCTTAAAACTATTATTTTTGTTTGGAATTTTTCGCGTATAAAGAGTTCATTTGTAAAACAGTGAATCTCATTACATTGTAACTATATTTTGTAATTTAAGGAACTGCATGAGAAATGATACTCAAAACATTTTGAATCAACTTCATTTGATTATAAGCTGATTATGGTTGTAATATGTTGATCATTGGTTTTTAGCATAGTACTTTTACAACATACACACTACTATATATCGCTCGAAGGTTCATTGTTTCATTAAAATGGTGTGTCACAGTTTACTTCTGTGGCTAGATCGTAAAGAGGCTTTCGAGCACTTCATAGTCAGTCATTCTTGAAACCAATAAAATCAACAATGTGCTGTTCCTTGAATGTCATTTACTTTAAAGTTCAACACAAAAAGCAAGAGCGCTTGCACCAAAATCATGGTGTATTTCACTACTTTTCTTCTTCTTCTTCTTATTCCTTCTTTTTTTTTCAGTGACAAAAGTACAAACTCAAGGTTTTGTCGATATCATATTCAATATCGCTGTAAAAAATCTACAGAATTTAGGTTATGCAAATGATAAAAAAAGAGAATCTATAACAGAAGACTTATTAATGCTAATCAACAAAGATGCATTATAAACACAATACAAATTGGTTTATTTATTATTGTCAAATAAAATTTCTACTTTTTGCTAAATGAACAAATAATGAATGATTTTTGTAAATGTTAACTTTTTCTTTCTAACAATTCCAGCTAACTGTAAAAATTATCGGTATGCTTAAAATGCAAACAATGAGTGTGAATAAAAATGCAGCTGTTTTCACTTTCACTGAATCAGTAAAATCCTAGTTCAGCCATTATTGAGAAGTGTTAGAAAGATCAATTTAATTATCATGGCAAATGAATTGACACAGAATACCCCATGCAAAATTGCAGAGATTATAAATAAAACACAGAGTTACTGTTAATAATAAAAATCGTATTCATTTGCATAAATGTTGACGAAGTATAGTACTAGGCTCAGTTGAAATAAAATTTCATGGCAATTAGCAAAAACCATGTTCTAAAAGTAACAACGTCAATTGCTAATTTTTATATAAACTATCATTAGTCATCCAATATAAGTTATCTGATACTGAAAATTGTCAATTCCAGCTTATAAGATGTAAACAGAATTATAATTTTCCTAACCACTGGTTATATGACCACGAGGATTATGTGTTTATCATTGTCAACCAACACATTCTTTGAACCGTTCACAGCCAACTAACTTTCTCCATGTTATATATACCACATCCTTATACGCCCTGTAATTTTCTATTATTTTACTTCCAATTATCTGTTTCAGCATTTTCAACTCGAAATCGAAGTAATAATAATCGTTGCTACTATTTCAACATCACTATCGCTATTCAACTTTTATTTTGTAATAAGAATTATTGTTGTTAAATGTAAACCATTTTATATAAACTATAGATAATTATACTCACTCGTTTCTCTGTTAGAAATTCAAGTGAAATTGAGCAATGCCTAAGAAAGTAATAGAAAAACAATTACCGAGAGTTGACTGATTAGGAAATGAACTAGCCTTCATATCTTTGGATTGAAGAATAGTTAATTGTGAAAGTGTGATAGTCCAGATGAAAACTAGGTCAGGAACGTATTTTATCGAAGATCCTATGAATTATAAGTTGAAAACCGTATCACTTAGGCAAAATAGCATCTTCAGTCTACGGTACTATGATTACAAACATAAATCTAAAAGACGTATTGTTGGTACCTTAAGGCAAGGTTGGCGGTGAATCATGCTACTGCAATGTTAAATTGAAGCAAGCATCATATTTTCGACTAGAATATCGTAATATCTAGGATCATGCTCTTCAGCAGCATCTAAGCGTGAGATGCAACCTTATTTCTCTAGTTTTGTGCCCCATTTGTTCATTCGAAATCAGCAACTATTTTGCAGATCAACAAAACTAACCGTTGTATTTTGTTATTGCAGTAAATGAATGGTTAGCAAATATTTACTTATCAATTATTAGTATAGCTGGCACTTGTTTCGAAGAAAAACATTCCGGATATTTGCCTGCTAGAAAACTTTGGGCGATAATGAAATAAGATTACGAGAGAAAACTTAAGCATAGTTGGGTTACATTTGAATAGGGTGGAAATCAAACCAACCAACGTCGCTTCAAGACTATCAATTTCCGTCTTGATGATTGTTTCATTTGTGAAAATTCTCTTACTGTCCAGATATTTGAATATGCTTCGGAGAGGGGGTTAAATGCTTTTTGCCTAGCTGTGTACATAATGTTTAACACTAGGTGTTTAACACAGTTTAATATTTTTGTGTGAAAACGTCTTAATTGATTCATTAATTTAATAAAGACCAGTCAGGTGTTTAGATGGTTAGTGTATTGGTTATCAATGTTTTGATTTGACTACGTGCTGTTCTCACGGGAAATCAACTATGACATTCACTTGAGCAATTTGATTTAATAAAGTCAGTTCATAGTTATAAATATGAAATCGTTTATTATTAGCATACCAAAAAAATGGAACAGCTCACCACAACCAGACTGAGCAGGCACACTAACTAGCCGATGGGCAAATGAATTAATAAGATTAAAATGTTCGTATATATACAAAAGAAAATGTCTGAGTCATCGAGATATTTAAGAGATTAACATCAAAGCGAAGAAGATGAATATGCGCGTATGCGGTAAGCAATGTTCAGTGATGCCAGATCATAGAAACCAGACAACAGTAAAAGCGAAAGGTATATATAAGTTGCTGTCATCTAAGTGGCTTGGTTAAATAAATTAATCAAAAGGGCTTAACTAAATTAAATGTAAGCAAATTCAAATTTATGTGGAGGCACAACAGTGGAATAACAAATTTTCTACTTTATTTTTCACTAAGACAGTGTTCATATTTTTCTTGTGACTGCTAAGACGTAGGTATTTCAAGTTTCGAAGAGTTTATTAATTTTGTTCTACACGGGCGTTCTTTTCCTATTCTACTCACTATTTCGAATCTACATTTGTGATAGTTAGAATTCAGCAGGCTACGTTCTTCCCATAACACTATCAGGGTGAGTAGCTAACAGGCTTTTGTCCTAATTTAACAATGCCCAATGCAAATACACCCACTAAATTTCTCTGTTTTAACCAGCATACTATAGATTAGCTTCATGTCACGTAGGGCTTATGTTTCGCATCAATATTTTAGAATCAAACATCAAGGTCTAATTTAAATGGGACATATGACTATTGGCTAAGGTTCTACCATGAACAAGAATGGAATAAAGATTTTCAATTGGATGAACTACCATGATTGAGGTTTATCCTAACGCACTAGTGGTTAATCTGTAGGAAATCCCTTTAGGATAAACATATTATTTCACTAAAAGAAGAATTTGATATTGGACTGGAAAGACTTCTTTGTGTAAGCGTATTAAACAGAACAGACGAAAACCACGTAGTTCATTCGTCCAATAGCAGCAAACTCATAAGCGACTAAAAGCTATCATATGCCTTCGTGTAAAATCTTTAGTTTTATAATACAGGTCGTCAATTATTGTCATTTTGTGACTGAACAAAAAGAAAATCATAAATACTGCGAAATTCAAAACACTAGGAGTCATCTCGGTATCTTGGTACTCAAACAGAATGGAAAGATCAGTCGCCTTGGAATCCCATTAATTTTGACTGTTCTAGAAGTCCTTTTCTGATTAAATTATTTATTTTAGGACTATTCTGTTTAACAACATAAAACTAATGGTTAATTCAATCCAGAATAAGTGCCTTAGTGTTCATTTACAATAGCTTCTAAATTTTTCACGTAATACATCCATTTGGATCAAACCGTTTGGAATAGTGATTATTAGACAATAAATTTCCATTGCGTTTAGGCTTACATTGTATAATTTCAAAATCTTTAACATTTCAGCTTAGTGAATTTCGAATGGGGAAGTAAAAAGTTTTCTTCTTCTTTACACAGTCTGCATTATTTTGTATCTTGCTTGTTTCCATTGTTTGACTGATGATTTATGAAAGCTTCATCAACTTAGCTTGTTGTTTCAAACTACTAATCACTATTTCTTAGACATCAGCTAAATTTAGTTGACCAGAGCGTCTTTAATCGTGATCGATAAAAACTGTGATTTACTAGTAAATCATAGCCTTTCAACCAATTATTTTCATGTGTTTATTAGTCAGTAAGTAATCCATTCATAAAGTATCTTTAAATTACTGTCAGATTGTGTTTCACAAATCGCACTTTATAAACGTGCAAAAATAACTCAAGATTTTTCTCAGTAGTCTAGAATTCTTTGAGCTAGTTGATTTAACTGTAAATCCATTCACTGTCGTTTCGAGCAACATTTTCAGCATTTAATTCATGTAGAGCTATTTAGGTCATAACTCCCTGTGCCACAAATGTTCTTTATCATTTCAAAATATTTTAAGATTATCGGAAATATGCAGAGAAAGTTTTATGCGTAAGTTACAAATCTGCTAAGAGTTACATAGCAACGAAGATTTTCTGTACTAAATAAATCTACAAATACATTGAGGTATAGATTTTTCCAACTAAACCTTGGAATTAGTTGCTTTACATAGCGAATATTGGAGCCACCAGTAACCCTTTTGAAACAGAAATTTCACATCTCACGAAATAATTGTTTAGTTTCGCTTTTGTGTAACTAATTTTCTGTAAGCGCAAACTTCCTTCACCTTACATCAAATCTCATATGTTTGTCTTTTGCCAGTGTAATAGCCCGTAATTTTTAGATTGACTTTACTTGATTTATATAACATAGTTTTTCACATAGTTCACTATTTACTCATTGCGTGTGGAATCATCATGATCAGTTTTCCTTATCGATCTAATTGCGCAGGATCTAACACTAAAATTGAAAAAATTTCCTCTCATTTATTGATTAGAATAATTAGGCTATAAAAGATATCGTATTGATTTCATCTCCGTTCTCATGTAGCTCATTAGGGCTTGTATATTTTATCATCAGTGACTCAGCCTTACGTAGCCGAGTTTGAATTCGGTTGATTTGTTCAATGTCAAATGTTGTGTATATAACTGAAGATTTATTTTCACTCAGCCATTATTACTACTTAAAGTGTTCAATACTACATACAATAGATTGTATGATCAGTCTAAATAATATTCATTGTGAATATTTTCTGTAGCGGGTTTCAGTGAGGACTGAGAAATTTCTCATAAAAGATATCAAGATACATACTTCATGAGCTTATAAAAATCACATACTCTCAATTATTAAATCCCAATTGTCTATGCACTTCATGTCACAACAATTTCTTAATTATATTTGATGAATCATTTTATAAAGATATATTACTGAGATGAAAGCTTTAAAATTAGTCGAACCTTGGGTTCCATACACGAATTGCTGATTGAGCATCCCAGAGCAGCAAATGAATTAAAAGCTGAGGAAAAGAAAAAAATGTAGCTGGATAATGAATTTCTCAATCATTTATTTGAGTAATAAATATACACAAATTCTAAGTAAGAACACACGGAATAACTAGATCAAAACTATGAATTCATCCATGATTGATGCTCTTCTGAGGTAGGCTTGTTAGGACTATATATTTCAAATATTGATAGCCTTATTATAATTTCATAACACACATTAGAAAATAAAATAATTCCTCAAAATCACAAACTATCATCAACGAGTTTTTCCTGAAATAAGTTTGGAACTTCAAAATGATTATAATTGTATATTGAAGCAGTTAAAACTTCCAGAAGCTTAGGTCATATAAAATTGCATAAAACGTAAAATGCTTATATTTTTTTGACATGAACCTTCTGATGTATTACACTTAGTGCTGTAAAAGCTAATGAATGATATCCTTGGGCGAACAATGAACTTTCTTGTTACTTAGATCCCTACTCATTATAGAGAAAATTATGAACCAATTCATTGAAGCGCTAACATTTGAGAAGACATTTCGATAACATTTTGTTTGTTAACAGCAATAAGTCAGAACGAAGGCAAATAATTCTACCGATCAATATTCATGTACATATATATTCTATATTCTTGGTCGGTAAACAGATTCTAACTTTTCTTCAGATTTCTTGATTTTCAACTTCTTTGAAGCTTGTTTAAAGGATAACTTTCGCTACTTTATTCATTGCTTAATTGTCTTATTTTTGCTTTGATTATATATGCATTCATCGTCACTGTTTTACTTTGGTTTTTATGACATAAACTTTAGCTATTTCTGCAAATTGTTATTCTTAGACATCGGTTGATTGGTATAAACGTGCTGTTTTTGTCGAATATAAATAATCTGATAGTTTTCACACTAGTGGAAGTTATTTTTTTACCATCGTCATTATCTTTTAGCTTTGGCTATTTGTTTTCATTGGTATTGTGCTGTTCATAGACACTTCAAAATCAAGTATAATTTCTTTTTGATCTCAGTCTGATGAAATGCTAGATTTCTCTGAACTTCTTGGGATATTTTCAACTTCTGTATTTTAGGTATGCCAAACTACTTTAGTGAAAAGTGTATGAAGTTGTTGGGTAACAATTAAACTCGTTTGATGAAGTTAAACTGCCGAAATTGTCAAATATTGTATAAAATGTATTTTGAGATAGTCGAAATTCTAATATAGAATCGCTAACTTTATGTTCTCAGTTCACATTGGAAAAGTTCAAAACGGTATTGAAAGCTCTGCTTTACTGGAGGCCAACTTTAAGATTACTGCGACCAGGACATCTTGACCACACTGTTCTGACATGCAATTGCAAATAAGAAAACATTGACATTGTTTTGTCTCCTACATTGTTTACGTCACTATGAGTCAGTGGTTCATTGTTATGATATCTAATACTTTTGGTATCCTCCACATTTAGACATCATATTATAAGAACTTGTGTATATTTTATCCGCTCTTTTATTTTTTTAGTTCTTGAGATAAAGGTATTAGAACTCCACCAGTGAAGAAATAATCAATTTTTGTGGTGTTACTCTATTATATTGCACTCTGGCTACTTGTAATATCAACTGCTAAAAAATATTAAACTGAAGGCTTCTTTTTTTTAATTGATTCACGTCTTGCCACAAGACAGTTTCGAAATTTCACGAATCGTTGAAAATGATATGAAGAGAATTAATCTTTCTTATTGCATGACTCATTTTATCATTAACTAAAAAACACTAGTAATGCTATCGTTTAAGAAGCATTCGAACTAAACAAATTATATTATCATATACGTATTACTTAATCGTAAGTGTTACTGCTAAGAGTTCAGGTTTGTGGTACAAATCTTTTTATTTTCAAACATCTCAATGATCGGGGTATTTTGACCGCATGATCAGCTAATCACGGGTTGAACATTATTGAATAGCTGTTGAAAAGGCAAACTGATTAAAATATTGAAGTTAAATGTGTTGAGAGGAAAGTTATTTAGTGTAGATTTCAAAATATCAAAACAGATTTCGGTTACAGATAGATACTACACTGACCAGCGCAAATTTAAGAATTTCCGTTTTCAATGTTGAAAATAACACTTCATTTCATTTTTGACGGAAAAACTCGAGTGAGCAGGGTGTAATCTGTGATCCGATATTTACATACTTTCAAAGCTAGTTAATATCCGGTTAGCAGACAGTGAATTCGTAAACTTTTGTCTAAATTAAGAAAGAGCATTTTCATAATGACAGCTTTGTTTTATAGAATACGAACATTCGAATGTGGAATGTGATTATGAAAGCCATATATCAAGCAAACGCTCTCCTCAAACACTACTTTAAATGTTTGTTAACAGGTTTGTGTGTATGATCTATATTTTGAATAAAAAACAGTTGAATGAGAATAGAGTCGATGCAAACCTACAAGTTCACAATGATAACCTCAATTCCTTTGAATAATTGTTTGAAATTTACTAGAATAATCTGCTAGTATCTATGTAATATACGCTAGATAGATAGCTGGTAATGATATAGAGTTTCTTGATAACATTACAAGAATAATGCCTGGATCACGAATCTCATTCATTTGCTAGGCTTTGAAATCTAATTTTGAACTGATATTATCCGAAATTTGACATATTTTGGACATTTTTAAATGATACGTATATCATTTGCTGAAACTTGGTGAAGCAGAACTCATGCTTATCAACAGTCGAAGTATGAACTACATTATATCATAGCCGCTTAAGTTTGCCAGATGGAAGTTAGTGAACATTATATTAAAAAACAGTAATAAATCGTGAAAAATAAAAAATGCCAAGGTTATTAGTTGAAATTTCGAAAAAATGAAATTCTAAAATCTGAAAACTATCAGAACGGTCTATTACTTATATTCCAGTTTATCAAAATAGTGCGTCATTATTTACTCGTCATTAGTAGTTTTATGACTGGTTAGGCAAAAACGCAGCATTGATTGTTTGCAGTAAATTTTAGTTGCGATAGTCTGGAAGAAATTGATAAAGACAATTTGAAACGCAAAAAGTCAGTTAAATGTACATTGTAATATTTCGGAAACTTGGATTTTTCTTTGGTTAATCGTCAGATATATTTTCTGTAAACTCCAAATATGTCTTAACATATTGGTTGGTTTACAGAACGCGCTCAAATGATAAATTACGTAATCTTACTTGGAAACATTCTATGATTCCATTTATCTAGTACAGTAACTCCTAACTTGACATTGAATGTAAACCATGAGTTGGTGTTAAATCTAACCTTTAAACTAGATAATAGCTATTGCTGATTTTACACTTGAGCAGGTCGATTAATTCCTGGCTAGATGTGGATAGTTTTTTTTTTAAAAGTATAAAGAAGAATGTTATTTGCCACAAATTGAATAGTTGATCTTAAAAGCTAATACAACAATTTTATGTGTGTGTTACCCTGTCTCTCTGTATTCTTAACTCGACAATGAAAACCACAGTATTTGATTTGTTAGAAAACAAAGAGAATGACTAGAAAAACTTTTATCAACAAAACATACACAAAAATTGAATAAAGAAAATTACTCAGCATATATTTCATAAATATTAAATGCATATTGAAAATTAGCACAGTTTTCTTCATACCGTACAAATTATTAGCTTACTAATAAACTATTTCAAATTTATTTATTCTGTTTTATACAAAAAAAAATATCAGTGGATAATTTTTCAACTTGTTGATCAAGTAGTACTACTGAAAACATTAATTAGTAAACACTAAACAGTTAACATAAATGTAAGTAGCTAGAGAATTCCTGAATTTATTATTTAGCATTGTCATCCTTAAATATCTCTGTGATTTGAACAACATTTACGGTTTATTAATAATAAGAATAATAATAATAAGAAGAAGAATAATAATGTATACTGAGGAAAATATGTGTTCTAATTTGAGATTAATTCAATTATCATTAGTGTAAACAGTGTGAGCGTGTCTATTATACTGCTTTTGACCATTAGAGAAATTTCTTCTATGTCTATGTTACCATGATGTTCTTGGCATAAAATAAGAGAACCGATCACTGTGACTACGTCTTAATGGCCGGTGTCTATCCGGACTGGCTATTGATTCAACTGAATCAATGCGTGAATTAAGCTCCGCAGCTTGTTTATCTAGTGCTTGAACAATCTGTTTTACTCTGCCAAAAAATTTTGGCTGATCTTCTGCATAGTCATTCTGTTCACAATGTAAACTTTCTAGTGATTCAACTTGTTGTTTTTGATGTTGTTGGTAATTTGATATGTGATGCTCATTCGCTGTATACGTAGCGAATCTGCACGGTGGTGAATGAGTTGTTTTACGAATTGTATAGGGGCGCTCAGTCATATATTGATTATTACATGTTGATGTGGGGTTTGGTGAGTCTTCTAGTTCTACACGTAATGGAGAAATATTTCTGTATCTGACAAATGATTCATAAGGTTCCTGATAGCTGTAAAAATTTCTATTATAATCATTATTACTATACGTAGGCGGGTTTGGAGCGACTTTAGGCATGGCGTTAATCGCCTTTGCATAATAGTCATGTTTTATTGAGTTAATGCTGGGCTGATCCATTAAAGTTTTATCTAAATAGGGATAATTTGTATCATGCTCAACAAAGGCAGGGTTTTCGACAGGCAAATACATGTTGGAAGCATATTGTTGAGGTTCACTTAGTGTATAGTGATTATTATCATTATCGGTACTGTAAATGTTATAATGACACTTTGTACCTTGGTACCGTTTATGAGTATGCTCGTCAGAGTTATATGCTGAATTCAGGTCAGGCTTCTGAAAATGACTAATCTGTTGTTGATAATATTCTTCATTGTGGTTCTCTTTCTGATGACGTTGGTATTGGTAGTGGCTTGGCTGGTGTTTAGTGTAGAAATCTCGTTTTACGAATAAGTTATTCTGACTGTTTAAATTATTGATTTCAGAATCCCAGCTCGAATAGGCGCTTAGCTTTGGTGTTTGTCCGGGCGAACAGTGATAACAGTCAGAACAAAATGAACACTGAGCCAAATTTCTGTTCATTTTGATCAACTCCTCAAAATATTCACGTTTTTTATCGAAATCTTCTGCGATTGGAGTAGTATCTATACAGTCATTGGGGAACTGATCTATTATTTGACGTTCATTTTCATCTGCCTCAACACTGTCACACTGTATGCCTTTATCTAAAGATTTAACATACTCTTGTGGATAATACATTGAACACTTAGGAATCGCTATACGAGGAGATCGAGCTGGAGGAGATTGCTGTTTGATGTATTTCTGAATTTCTCTTTCAGTACGTTCTTCTATATTATTTGGTGTTGAACTTGGTGGACTTCGTATAGCTGGTGGTGACCAGCTTCCTCTAAGTTCATGGTATTTTTGTCTGTCTTCACTGATTTCTCTTGCTCGTTTTATCCATTCCTTCTTTTCACAGTTTTGTACGCGTCTTGCATTTTCCATACGGTACGATTCAATGCAACTTCTGTGTTTAGTGCAGTTGATTATTCTATTTGGTTCTCGACCTCTATGCTGTTTACAAAATGATTCTGCATTGGTTCTAAGGGAACGATCACGTGTTAAACTATGAGATTTGTTAAATATTTTCTGCCTACTTCTTGATGCGCTCATAGAACTGAGCCACTGACTTCGGAAGGGCGGTGGTGGGGATAGAGATTTTACTGACCATGAACGACTTAAGTAAGGTCTATGATATGTTGATCGTCGCATCCTATCGGGATTATTGGATCTATTCATGAATGATTGAGAAATATGACTCTGATGAGATGGACTACATTGATTACTAGTGCAGCGTAATATATGTGGATGTAATTCAGTTGGAGGTGGAGTGGGTAGTGGTTGTGGAGACAAAGATCTATTTCTAGTATGAGTAAATGTACGCGTATGGTCATGTTGATCAAATTTAATTCTTGGCTGAACCACCAAACTTCGATCTTTTTGTTGTGTCGTAGTTTTCTTTAATTTGCTTGGATTATCGGCAGGAATACTTTGATATAGCTGTATGTCTTTTGACGCAGTAGGTCGAGCTGTAGTACTGAGTTTTGATAAGGCTTGTGTTCTGTGAGGTGTTGACGATCTTTGGTTATATTGTTGAAGAGACTGTTCTGCAACCCATAAATTTGTAGCCTGAACAGTCGCTTGACTTGGACTTGGCCACTTAGATATTACATAAGTTGTTATGAAGTTTTTAGGCTCTTTTGAGAGGGGTTTTTCATTTACACGCTCATACACTACAGCAGATCTAACATACACTCCATCAGTGGAAGAAGGATTCATGCAGACAATTTGGTCTGGCTTGACATCAGATTCATTACAATAGACTATGGAATGATTAGGCTCCTGTTTTTCGAATTCTGTATTCTTAGCATTAGTGTCGGCACAATTATTGAATTTCCAACATTTTAAATCTGAAGATTTCGGAAAATAATTTTTAGCTGTCTTATTAGTCTGATTATCCTTAAAGGATAATGTATTGGGTATTGGTGATAGTGATCGCTGAGTAATTGAACAAGCGCGATAACGTGATAATGAACCTCCCCTATTACCATAAGTTCGGTCAGACTTCTTGTCGATTGCCAGAGATCGTGAACGATATGGTAAACTCATTGATAAGATCGGCTTGGCAGGTTGGCTCCAACAGGATGAATAATTTTTATTTTTACATATCATTTTATTCTTTAATCTATTTGTATTACTTATATTGTTGTTAGTAACATTATAAATCTCATAAGATTTATCGACGAATTCTGTGGATGGTGGTAAAGGCAAAGGAGGTGGTGTAGGTAGATTAAAACGTTTAGGACTAGGTGTTCGAAACTTTGGTGGACGTGAATAATATTCTGTAACATTCATAGGAAATGATTTGATCGGTTCAACTGATTTAGAATTATTCAAATTATTAGATTGTTCATTCTGTTTTACTAATGTAACTATTGTTTCAGCTGCTCTGTGTTTTCTATTAGGATCGCTAAAAAAACCTGACTCAAATAATTTGCGCATTTCTTCTACAGATATATGTAATTTTTCGTTTTGTAATGGACTAAAATCTTCGCTGAATTCAGCTTGTTTTCCATTAGTTTTCAAGCTTGATCGGTGCAATGATCTGTCGAATGTATTACGCCTTATTTTGTGAAGTGATCTTTCATTATGACTATTTTTATCATTATTAATTTCCGTAGTTTTTGCTCCATCAAGCTTTGTTGACTCCTCTAAACTTGTGTAATATTGCTTAAGACGTAAAACCGATTGTGAACTTGGTGTCGTAGTAGAACATGCGTAAACATTGCATTGTTGTTCAGGTATCCAGTTAGATGATATATTATTTTCTCTGTCTCCTTGATTTGTCATAGTTTTATCACTGTTTTCTCTATCTAAACTAGGTCTTCTCGATGGAAAATTGGTTGACGAGTTTAAATCGACACGCTGTTGTAATTTATTTCTATCTGTTATTACCTCAGTAAGCTCTGGTTGAATAGGCTGAGTTTCTTCTAGTATTTGGGTTTCTGATTGTGTATCAATTGGTGCAGTTGTTACCGGTTGCAGTGGTGTTGATGATGCGTAAGAGGGAGTTGATTGCCGTGTTGGTCTGTCTTCTAATGGTGGTGATGCTGACTGCTGAATGGAAGCAATCTCTTCAACAGGTGAATGTCTTGATTCTATGGTTTCATTATCACTAAGTGGATTCTCAGAAAACTCTGCTGACATTTATGAAACAAAACTATGAATAAATGCCATACAGATTGAACAGTAATAGCATTGATATTGTATATATTCAGACATTTTCATTATTAAAGTTCAAATTAATCAGAAATAAATGAAGAAATAGAGTAATTTCGATTCTAATAAACCCTATCCATTTTGTAAATTATGTTTTCCCAGAACGATGTTACTTCTTGGCAATTTCTGTTATGTTTTACACTGTCAATCTGGAACTAAAAAGAAAACAGAATTACTTTGTACTTCGCTGGAGAGAGAGAGAGAGAAAAAATGTGAGATGTGAAACACTCATTTATATTGACTTTACAAAATCTATTGACCTATAGTGAATGAAACAAACACGATTTTACACTAGATTCAACAAGAAAGGATATCATTATTTAACACATTTCTGTATGTACGAAAACGTTTAACGACTTGGATTTATTTTCAAATACATAAGTTAATTCGATTATCATCCTAATGAAATCCATTTTCTGTATTCAGCATTAATCGCGTTCAAGTTATGGTCAGAGTAATAGAATGAAAATCGGGAAATTTAAATTTAAAACGTGTATATATATAAAGTACAAAAAGCTTTTGATATTCTGATGACAAGTTCCTTATCTCTTCGTAAACAAACAACTACTGCTTTTAAAAAAATTAAGAGACAAATGTTCTCCTTAGTTTAAGAATGATTGCTCTCCCATAGAGGCTTCTGAAATAGAAATAAAACTCTTCACTTTCATAACAAAGATTTTCATCGCTATAACATCTATATGTATTGCTCCATACGGATCCTATGGTATTATGGTATGAACGAAATTGTCCGAAAATCTACTAAAAATGTCTGACTGTTTTAATTAAACGTTTATTTAATTGCTCATGCTATTGGAGAGTAAATTTTATGAACAGTATTTATTCTGAAATTATAAACTATGGGAAGAACTTCAAAGAGCCAATAAGTAAATGATTAATTTGTTACCATTGAGTAATCTTGTTAGAGTTCTGGTATGAAATTTAAAAGTTTCTGACTACCAATACTTCTACTTTTCAAAAACAACAATTAACTTCAAGAAACATCATTGATAAACAAAAGGGATCCAATTCAGATGTGAAGGCACGGATTGGCAAAGTGAGGGCAGCATTACTATGATTGAAGAACATCTGGATTCCCAAATAATATTTCCCAATGAACTCTCTTATTATACCTACTTTAGGATACGACCTAATGCTGTTACTATGTATTCTTTTAAAAATGGAGTTTAGGTACTTTGTGTTCGATAGTATATAAAGTAAAAGCCGTAAAGAACTAGTCATCTAAAGTCAAATACATTAAAACCTACAATTAGCGCTCGCTATAGTGAAATGGTTTCGAGACAATGTGACCTTAAATAATGCCTTTTGAAAACTAAACAACATTCAAAATAACGGCTTAAAAAACTTTTTTGCATCAAATAAATAAGATTGTGAAATAAGAACAAATGATACAGGTTAAAAACCCATAATATTCTCTCAATATACAGAGTAAACGGTCATCATTAACCAAACTAAAGATTATAAATAAAGTGATAACCCGTGAAGTAAACAACAGGTTAAATGATAGATTTGTAAATATCTATTTACTTGCCCATCTATAGCGTAATATGAACAAGTGAAGATTAGTGTGACACACCCATAGCTAGAAAAAAATTTCTTCCACATCTAGAAAGCTATAATTTCAATGTATTACTATATTTTATCATGTTGATTAGTTTCACAATCAAACTATATGGAGAATACGGATGATGAGTAATTGTTAGGATATTTACCAGATATCCTAAAAGGAATATTTGTAAGTCCAATTCTATTGGTCAGTTCCTATTGGTCGTCTTAACTGTCAATGTCACATACTCGAATGTTGTTTCATATTCGACCTAACTGTATAAATATGCATTATCTGTAATATTTTATCACTCAGATCCTTAGTCCGGGATCCTTAGCCTCTTCTGGACCCGAACCTCGTACTTTCTGGATGCATGTAGAATACACGTTCTTCTTCATATTAAGTCTTCTTCTTTTACTCCATGGGTAGGGATCTGGGACGCTCGGATTAGAGTAGCCTAACGTGCCACTGGATCACCGACTGAGGTGAACTCGTAATAGTTCAAGCATATCAAAATGACGTGTTGATGTGCACGCATAACAGTAATATTTTGTGACTTCACCAACAGGATCAAATGTATCAGCAAACATGCTAAATTGTATTACCGAGTGTAAAATTATGTTAGGGATACATATTTACTGATGTGTGAGTGAATATTTACTGGGCTAATGCAAACTATATTGAAGCTTACGAGCTAAATATGATCGTTTAGATTCAGTTAGAGTGCTTATTTTTAAAGAAACAGGTCAACATGATACATTCTTTGAAATTTATTGTAATGGTGAAAAAAAATCATACACAATTTGATGCATAATTACTGGAATTTGTTTTCAGAGCTGATGAATTAGGATAACTCATCTTGTTAGTATTTGTGAGCTCTTAGAGAGACAGAGTCTTACATCAAAAGTCAAAAGCTTTTCGATGAATATATATACTTCTAATAATATTTGTGACATCTTAGTGAGGTTAGAATAGTGCAGCATTTAAACTTGTACTAATTGTGTCTGGTCATCATTATATTTAATGTGAAGGAAATGCTTACCTTAAGTGATGAATGGTTTGAAATTCTGATTCCTACTCATTGGGATATCAGAAATATATCATTACTTTCTGACTAACATTCTACCCCATGCTTAATTTGTTTGAAATTAACCTAATCTTCATAATTATGCTTACATACTTTCTTAGTTTTGTACATATTGTATGGTACTTTTCTACAGTCCAAAAAAAGTTATTAATCAAGTACAGGAGTTTATTTTGAAAGAAATTCCATCTGTGAAAGAGATAAATTAACTTCCCGCCAGTTTATATATAGAGAAATAACAGTTAAATCAATCAGAGGTTTCCAACACTGAGTAAATACGATAGTTCACTGCTCTTACTCAAATGGGATTCACCACCTCAATGCATAGAATATTAGTTTGAAGACTTGGATTCTGAAGACTTTTTATAATTTCCATAGATTTTAGTCTCATATGCTATTAGTTTACGCTGAGGAAGTTAAACTTTTACACATGATTCAATAGAAAATTGTTGCTTCACTCAGCATTCAAGAGCAAATACACTGGAAGTAGACAGCATATGCTTACAATATCACTAATTTTGAGCATGGTGTGAAGTCACATTCAAATAAATTATCATTTAAAGTAGTTATGTGATTTTTCTTAATATATTTACAGGTATATTGTGTAATGGTAGAAAGGTTTTTAACTGTAGATCGATGATTGGATAGTATTCTAGCATTGCAAGAACTTTTCTAAAGTTTCCAAAAAATCATTGATAGTGTAAGATGTATTCGCAATAAATCAACAATAGAGCTTATTTCTAAGAATGTTTTCTTGTTTTTTTTTGTTTGTGATTACAAAAGTATTACGCGAATTAGAATAACTTACTGTCTTTCAGTACCATAGTTACCACATTGTTATTAATATCATTCCTTATAACTAGTAACATTAATATTTAATGAGTAAAAAAGTTACTTAAACTATTCTAGTCAAATATGTCTGCAACATAACTGGGTGATTTTGATGTCCGTCTAACAACATTTCTTAAAATTTACTTATTTAGATAAGATAAAAGTGTCTCTAAAATATCACAGGAAATCACCTCGTGCAACTTCATTATCTTCGATATTAACGCCTCATTATTACTTGATTGGAAATGTTATCGATACCATTTATTTAGTCCAAAGTAGTTTATTACGAATATTATTATTATTTATAAATATGATACTGTAGAAAGTTTACCTTTAGAAATAACTATCAGAATGATTCACATTTATATTAGTAAAAATGAAATGAGTACTTAAACCTAATGTTGTAAACAACTGAGAATATGGCTAAACAACATGTTTCAATGTATCTCATGTTTAACTTCGATTGTTAATCTAGGCTAGGCAAACGTCAAGTATCAGCTAACAATATCTAAGACTTAAAATATATATACCAAATTCAAGATAACAACTTGAAAGATTTACTTTTGAACATTTTAAGCAAATGAATTTAATTTAATTCTCCAAATCACTAATACATTCAATGTCGAATGAAAATTACGAATTCAAAATATTTTAATACGAGAATTCATTTTTAACTGTGCAGTAAGTGGAACTTTATTCCAGATTAATTTTACCACTAAATAACAAAATAATCAAATCATGTTACGTCCAGTTGATGGATTTGAACGGTTATTTATGTAATTTTTGTAAGTTCAAGATGAAAATTGGAACTCTGATTCAATTGTACACTGTTTTCATGATTAACAACGTTAGCTTCATTTTCCAGAGAGTGATATTTTAAAAATGCGATTTCAGAGTTATTCACATTTCTAAAAATTATTCAATTTAGTCTGAGCACAAATTCACTACGTTTTAAGAAAGTAAATAGGAATATTCATCAAAATTTAGTTACAATGAGAATATTTATCGGGTTTGTATTTTCGGTTTACTGTTAATAACTTCAGTAAAGAAAATCTATAGTTCACTGGAAATATAAAAGACCAGTATCAATTATTTTGTCATAGCCAACTATTTCTGATGATATCGGGAGTTAACCACTATACAGGTAAGCTTCATAATATGCTTTAACTTATCGATTTTAATGAAATTACATTGTATCTTATGAGAATAATAGGAGTGATACAAGTCACTCTACTTCAAAAAAGATGTATTTTCCATGTAAATCTTTGTGAATAACGAGATATGGAATATTAAAAGGTAAGAAATACTTGACAACAAATGCATTAGTTGAAGTTACTATAACATGAATCTTATAAATTAACTAACTTATAAAATTGGTTAATCTACTTCAAACTTATGAACGACATAAGAGACAACAGGTATCTACAATTACCAGTAACAATGTGTCCC